GGTCGTCGGCCAAATAAATCACTCTGATTGGCTGTTCAGCTTAGCGAATCAGTGCATGAGAAGCGAAATGGAAGTGAGGGACCCAACAAACTATTAAGAAGGCAAATCTGAGATTTCTTTTAACTCCAGCTCTCAACACAGGTTCGGGAAAGCACCGTGAGCTTCTCGCTGTAGAGTGAAAATGGAAGGCACACGCTATTTGTTGTTTGTTTGTATCACACAGTCTGTTCTTCTTCTCTTGGTGTGTCTCAGTCTGTCTTCCGGTTGTTGCCTCTTTTGAATGACGAATACACACTGCCGCCGCCTGCTGATAAGGAGAGTTATTGCCACTCACACATGCGCAGTTCGTAATTGCTTCTTGGCCGTCGGCTGAAGTCTTTGCGGTGTGTTCCAGTGCGACACATGGCCAAAACGCAGAGACGCGAGTCGACGCAAATGTCGGAGTCCGTCTGTGTCAGTTCTTTGTTGTCAGATTGTTGTGTCCGGGCCTTTAGAAATACCACAGAAGCGTTGCATAAGGGCTCTGGTCAAGTGGGACAAGATCATTACCTAGAGAGCTGCAATCCTTTTTCAGATTTGGGCATTGGGCACAAAGGGGGACTCCAGGAACCCATTTTTCTCGCCACAGCGGCAGCACTGCTGAACAACAATTTGAAATTAATAGTAGTCATGAAAATTTGCAGCTGAAATTGAATTGCTCTAACATTGAAACATTGAAAGAGTGTCTGAAAGTGCCATCTCGTTGGAAGGATCTGTGTCGTCTTATGATAAGAGATATGTAATATTTATCAAAACAAACATTGGCCTGTTGTGTTTGATCGAGATGTCCTAACATGCCTTCCTTCTCCCTGTCTGCTCCAGGTCCGTCACAGAATCCAGTTGCTGTGCAGCAGCTTCCAGGGGGCAACTATGGAATGACTCAACAACCAACCTACAATCCGATGCAGGCCAAAGCTCCTGCACCCCTCGGCCCTGGACTCTACCCCTCTGGGCCCTACCAACCTACTCTCCCAGTCAGCTCCTACCAACATGCCCCCCCTGTCAGCTCCTACCAACCAGCTCCTCCAGGCCAGCCGCTGATGACCAGACCTCTGTTGGGAGGTCCTCCATCCAACACCCCCCCTCAGTCTGCCAGCCCTGGTCCGAGGTTGCCCCCTCCACAGGCCACACCTCCTCCTCCTGCTGTGTCTTCAAGTAACTATTACTCTAACCCCCAGCAGCCCCAGCACATGCCTCCAGCATGGCAGTACAACAACGCTCCCCCACCAATGGGGTCACCCTCTTCCATGGGCACACCTCCCCGTGGCGCCATGGCCAATCATGTGAACCCAGCTGCAAGCTCGACAGCGCCGCTGCTGCCACCGTCATCGGCAGCTTACAGCTCTGCACCGGCAGCCCATGTTTCCCATAGTGGCGCACAGCCTCCAGGCCCAGGGAGCCCCCCCACCTCTCTGCATGGATATATCCAGCCAGGTAAGACACAAAGGCTCCACAAAAATTCTGAACTTTACCATCTATATGCACAACCCTTTTTAATTTTTTAATAAAGGATAAGATTTTCCATACACAAATACACAATTGCTAGCTTGGCTTGACTCGGTTTCACTCAGTACGTCCTCCCAGCACAGCAGTCATTTGTATCTCCATTACCAAAAGGCTGCCCACTTTAAGATGTGTGTAACCATCACTCTAACTAATGGTCATATAAGCAGCTTCACAACAGTAGATAAACACAGTTTGTTCATCAGCGGTAACTTAACACAACTCTTCTACAGCTCAAAGCAAAACAATAAAAATAAAGCAGATACCTGAAAAAAGCCTACAAACAGGCAGACAGGAAGTGGCAAATCTAAACTTCAAACCAGAACATCAACGCATTCCCCCGCCCCGTAAAACTGGGAATGCAAGACGGTGCAGCGTGGTTTGAGTCGACGTGGTCAAAAGGGCCAATTTAATGCCATATAATGATGCAGACACTCCTTGGGTCACATCAATAAAAAGTTTAGTTTTAATAAATGAGGCAGGTGAACTTTAGCCCATTAAGTCCAGGGTCCTCATTATTTAGCCACAGTAATATGTGTTTTGTCTGTTTTTTAAAGACTGAGACTGTTTTTTAAGATTGATCCTCTTCTAAAAACCTTTGTTATAGCCATATTACTCTGTCTTTCATTGTTTTCTTTCACTGATGTACATATGCGTATCAAGAGTGCTGATACGTTGGAGCCGGACCTTGTCCTCTCTTCCTACTTTGTACATGATAGCTGGCTGCAGTCTTTGGCACAGAGTAATTTACTCTGAATCTGTACAAAGTTCAAATCAGAATTGTGTATGATTCTTATTTAGCAGCATGACGTGGCTTTGTTGATAGAGTAGCATCTTAATTTCAATTTAGGGGGAATATTGTATTGCTATCATTTTTGATTTCCACTGGTGATATTAACAGAAATCCCACAGATGATTCGTACGGGCAGTCTTAACATTTGATCCTTTCAACTAGTAGTTTAATTTCACCCTGTGAGAAGTTGGAGCTTTTTTCTGACACAACTACTGTTGGAATACTGAGAAGTGTTTAGCGCTCAGTGTCGGAAACAAAAGACCACTCATAGAGAATCTCAGTAACTTTTTTTTTTTTTATCTGAAGGAAGTAAGTATGACTTTGGTTTTGCAATATGCGGCCACAGTGTCTGAATTTTTAAAGCTTAGGGCAGGGAAGTACTTCTGCATAGAAGCAGAGGTCACATGATGATCTCAGTCTGGCTGTTTCCTGCATATCTGTAAATGTTATGGTGGTATTGGCTCAAAAGAATTCTGTTCACATTAACACCCCTAACTGGAAGAGCCTGCTTGATCTAAGTTACCTCTACCCCAGCAGCCCAGTCTGTGCATATCTGCCCAGTACAATGGTGACAATTGAAAGCAGCTCCCCGGAGGAATGATTGTGTCTTTGTGGAGATGTTTACTCTGAGGAATGCTTTCTTACTGTAAATGTAACACAAGCAATTTTTTAAAGGTCAAGCATTTTTGGCACCAGCACGAATAATCTTTTGAACAGTTCTGGCTCAATTGAGCTTCTTAGAGTTTTATAGTCTACGTTATCAAAAAGTGTTTTTAAGTAAAAGCATTCAGATACATGTAACCTATCACAGTGCCGTTATGATATTAACAAATGCACAATGTGAAGTAAAGAAGGTTATCATTGTTGTCCTTATCATTCAGCTTCATCTCAGTCTACTCCCTACTCTAATTAAGCCTTCAAGGCCTTGTGTCTCTGAAATGATATCTTCCATATAATAGTTTGGCGTTATACTTGTTACTTGCCATTTGCTGTCACTGCTGTAAGAATAGTCAGCCTCATCCGTTGTGCATGGTTATACAGTGAAGCTGCTAGTTGATGATTCCATTAGTTGAGCAACAGAAAAGTAATCGCAAACTATTTTCATAATTGATCAATCGTTTAATAATGTTTTCATGCAGGAATGTTTAAAATATGGAGATATCCTGTTTATATGTTATAGAGCTGAATATATTGAGGTTTGGGATTGATTAAACAAGGCATTTAAAGATATCGCCTTGGACTTAGAAAAACTGGAAGGGGAGATCATATAGCCCAAAAAAACTAAACATGTTCAAATGAATCTCGAAACTAATTGGCAGATTAATTGACAATCACAATTATTGTTAGTTGCAGCCAAAAACCACCATGCCCTTAGGGAACAATATAAGAATACAAACATGTGCTGTGCATACATGTTTTATAGAAATGTGAAACTATTGCTCGATAAGATAATAAAGGAGTTTATTTGGGACCTCTGAATTGGCTGGTTTTTCGGTGGAGATGAACATGACTCTGTTGCTGTCACTGTTCTTACATTGACTGGCTGTGGGTCAGCAGAGCCACCAGCTGTTGTCGGCTTAACTCTGAGCTAATAATGTTACCCATCGGAGAGCGACGCCTCATATCTCTTCTACAATACCACAGTATTGCCACATAGCATGTTCATGAGTGTTCTTGTTTTACATGAGAGTAATGTTGTTGACATAAAGTCCTAACTCTATTTGCTGGATGACTGATGTTAATGTCTGAGATGATAGAGGATGTTGGTTGAAAGGGTTTCATCATTTTATAAAACAATTGGAGGTTTAAAGTAAAAGGATTATTTTATATGTGTTGTTAAAGTCCTTTATCCAACAAAAATGCAACAAAAAAAAATTGATTTGAAATTCAATTATTTGTTTTTTCTCTGTTGAAATTTGTATGTAATTTCTCACTATTATTTACGCGTTTTTATATTGTTAACTGGTGCTCAATTAATCTGTCAGAAATATCAATAGAGTAATCGGAAATCTATATTGAATATATGTAAATAAATCTGACTAGCAGCCCTAAGAATGACTGTTTTGGGGTTTTTCTCTAGGCACGGCACCTCCACCTATGAATCCCATGGTTCCTAACACATACCAACCAAGCAGAGCATCCTATGGCCCCCCACCTACAGGCCCACCACCAACCATGAAACCCACAGCCCCTCCCACTGGACCGCCAATGGCCAATGTCAAACCTCCACCCCCCAGGACCGATGGTAAAGGTTTTTAAAATCTTGAAATGTTACATTTTGGTGCTTTGTGTCCTCAGGTACGACAACCAACAAAGACGGCGACATCAAAACGTTTTGTTGGTCCGTGTTGATTGTGAAATCAGATGTCAGCGCTGAGTCTGAAACTATGTCTTGTTTATAAGCATCATTTTAGTTTTTTGTTCTAAATCTGATACCCTTCTGTTGTTCTCCCCTCCTTCCTCTACATGCCAGCTCAGTGTGGGGGTGCCGTGAACAACACTTTGCCCCCCACTGAGCCCGACTGCCAGGATGGGGATATTGAATGTCCAGGTGTGGCTTAATCTATCTGTAGCTGTTAGTGTCAGTGCTGTAATGCCCATCCTGTCCTCTCTGTGCTGTTGGTCATTGTATCTGGGGATGCACTAATTCTTAGTTTTTTACATCAAAGTTGACACCAAATAATGGATCTCTGCTGTATAAGCTTATAGAGCTCCAATCTACAGCAGAGAATACGTTTACACAAATTGGTCAATATCTTTTGCTTTGATCTCTTTAATATGTATTTTAAATAAAATGTAAACAGTATTTTTATAGGATCAGTGCATCCCTGGTAACGTATTTCCTGTTTGTAGGTTGTTTGCCTATCTTTCCTCCATCCATTCCTGCCGGATATCCCATTTGAATAAACATCCTAGAAAGACAGAAGTATTCATATTTCTTTAAGACACCATACATCAATTCCCATCCTCTCCATCGTCATTAGTTTTGTTGCTTTGCTTCATTACTTTATTGTGTCTTCTCTATTTCTTTTACTGTAAAACAGATCTTTCCATTTCCATCGCCCGCCTTGGTTAGCCCACTGGGATAGAAATAGCAAAAGTGTCACTAAAATTATTCACATCTGTGTTTGTTTTGCAACAGGAACCATGGCTGGCAATGGCCCACAAGCATCAAACAGCCATAATCATGTTGACAACAAAATGGGTAAGGCCATTTTCTGCGACATATTAGATTATTTCACCCAAACCCCATTTACAGTCTGATTACTAAACTGGCTTTCAAAGCTTCTCCCCACTTGCAGTGTTTGGACAAGTATCAAATATAATCCAGAGGGCAAAGCTGACGTTATTTCTGTTCTCTTTTCTTTTACAGCTGGCATGCCTCAGCACGGTCCACCGGGTCGGCACTTGGGCCACTACCCCTCCCTCCCCCCTGGGTACCAGAACAGCCCGGCTCCTCACAACGCCCCCCCACCCATGCACCCTGCACTGCTTGCCGCCACGCAGCCTTACACTCAAGCACATCAGCCGTACCAGCAAGTGAGTCCCAGCCATGTAAAGACCATTAGAGCATTTCACAAGTGCTTTTCGTCCATAACGGTATGGAACTAAATGCTCTACCATTTGTGTCGTAGCGTTTCACCTTCTAAACAGGCAAGACTCCCTTGTCGATCTAAGCCTTTTGGAAACATTAAATGCACAATAAAAAATGTTCTACTAAAAACAATATGTAGAATAATCCCCCTCATGAATCCACTAGTCTAGAAACGTGTGGCAGTGTTTTGTAGAGACCCTGCCCTCTGCCTGCATTTTCTCTTTTATTTTCATTCCTCTGTTCAGCATACTCTGGTAGTTTCTCTGCCCCTGGCTGTCGCTCCTCTGCCTTTTCTCTCATCATGCTCTGTCCTTGGCTGACACGGTCTTCGATGTTTCCTGAGCCAGAGGCTCAAACTAAAACTGTTAAACAAAAAGTTTCCCCTCAAGCTTCGTTAAGATATCACTTCTGAGAATTTGTAGAGGCAAAGTTGACAAAAGGAGGAGCAGCATTAAATAAAATGTGCTTTGTTGTCACGTGATATACTTGCATTGTTTACGCAACCAAAGGACGTTTTTAATGTATTTAAAAAAGGCAAATCATGGCTTCATTTGTTTTGCTGACGTATCAGACTAATACATCTTTGTTCCTTTATTCAATAACATATGGTGGAGAGTGTCATCCATAACTGTATAACATGTGTAAATATGGCTTCATTGTGATTAGATAAGATGCTAGAGGAAACATTAGGTCTTGTGATGTTTTGGCTCTAAAGGTCCCATGTCATGTTTTTCCGGTTATTACCCGTCCCCTTGTGTGTTGTTTAGCTTATGCATGTAAACGGTCAACCGTCAAAGTACATCCTGTAGACTGAAAAGCTCATAGGGGGAGGGGGGGGCAGGAACTCCAACAAGCCGTTTAGGACAGTGTGAATGCACATACTATACAGAGATGCTGTATGAGAAACCAATGTGAGTTTGGAAAATTGCACAATATAAATCTATTCTAGTAGACCTCAACAATGGAATTATGATCAGTAGAAATGGCCATGACATGGGACCTTTAATGGGCTCAGATTCTGAGGCAATAAATACGTATAATAGGCAATCAAAGCATGGGTTGCCATCCATGCTAAAGGATTTCACATTCATACGTTGTTGTCAAATGGATTAACTAAGTATTTAATTGTTCTCTTCTCTAAGCCGCCTGGTGGCCCCGGGCCCGCCCAGCTGAGCCCGTCCATGGCAGCCATGAGCCTCCAGTCCAACACCCCAGAGTCCCTGAGGGTGGTCAACCTGCTGCAGGAGAGGAACCTGCTACCCCCGAGCCCCACCCCCCCTCCGACACCCTGCCTTCCACAGGACCTGCAGAAGATCAACTGCAACCCAGAGTAAGCCATGGAGGAATACTGAGAGACGCTATCAATTGTGGCGGGAATTTATTTATCAAATGTGGATAGAGAATCAAACCATTCAGCTGTCTTTGTTGAAGAATATAATTTGGGTTGCATATTTAAACACAGAGAGAGAGGAGAAAGCTTGATGATAATGAAAGGAGCATTCTGGAAGTTAGGGAGGCCATCAGGATATTCTCAGTTCAACTGAGTTAAAGGTCAAGCTGTTGGTGCACATAGACTGTAACTAACAACATTGCAACACATCCTCGTAATAAGGAATTTTCCCAAGCTTAGCCAAGAAGTGTGAGAAGTAGTAAATATATACATTAGCAAATATTAATCTCACACAATGATATTATTAATTGTCATATCATTTGTCACTTGCAAATGTTGCCCAAGTTTCTTGGATAAATTGTTCCTAGAAAACCAGTTTTAAGCTTGTGAAATACTGAACATGATCTAACATGCAGTGAAAGTAACTATGAAACTCTGTGTTTGTGTTTCTCCAGGGTTTTTCGTAGCACGCTGACTAGCATCCCTCAGACTCAGTCGCTGCTCAATAAAGCTAAGATGCCGCTGGGCCTGATGCTCCACCCCTTCAAAGACCTCTCGGTAACAACCCTCTCTAATATTTATTCTGCACACATCAGTCAACTGAAATGATGTCTTAATATTTGGCTCTCTATCATAACATTATTAATTAGCAGTCATGTAAACTGTAAACATATAACCTGTTTTCGGGGTAATGGATTCAGAGGAACATGGTAAACCTAACTACATTCATCCCTGGGAAAAACACATTTTCTGGCACGAGTTAAACCAGGCTTTAGAATGTGAAGGAAAAATACTTCATACTGGTTTAGGAAAGTGAGTAATATACATACATTTCCTTAACAGCAAGTGATACCTGTTGGAGCTATATATATCTCTTTATATTATTAATATTTAACATTTATTTTCTTGCTGTTTTATAGTGTTTATTGTAAATGTATTCTTAGTTAGTCTCATAAGTTTCTATGCTTTTATTTTGAAGGCATGTTTTGGGCACTGGGTGATTAGAGCACCTGGTGTAATTGTATATATTGGAGACAGGTGGAAGTGGAAGCCAGAGCACTAGTAAGCAAACGGTTTTTTACCAGGGTGTTTCGAGCCACAGGGTTTTCCAACCACAGGAAAGGAAAGCCATAGGAAAGGCTTAAGGAACAAACCATAGGAAACCTGTTCATTGTCAATGATATTGGATCACTAGAATGCGTCCCGTTACTGAGTCCAGGGTCTGTTCCTAAGAAGGCAACATG